GGGCGGAGGGGGGGAAACCTGTGTTTGTTTTTTTTTTTTTTTTTTTTTTTTTTTTTTTTTTGGTGTGTGTGAACTAGGCGGGCGTCAGTGATTTCGGACCGCAAGTCTAGCCTCGATTTAAGACAAACACCAAACCGACAGATATTTAACAGTCTCCAAGCTGTGGTTTCGCTGAAGCGTGTGGTTTTGTCATGCTCATTAAACTGACAAATGACTCGCTGTCCTGTTCGAAGGTGACAGAGTTGGTGCTCGATAACTGCCGATCCAGCAACGGCGAAATCGAAGGCCTGAATGATTCGTTTAAAGAACTTGAGTTCCTTAGCATGGCCAACGTAGAGCTGACATCGCTGGCCAAACTCCCCACGTTGAGTAAGCTCCGCAAGGTACGTGTGTGTCTCGCCTGGAGCGCTTCAAGAAGTAAAAGTCACGGGTGACGAGCCGCGGTTGCGCCTTTCGGCGCTCGCGGTTGAACTCGCGTGGCGCTGACGGTGCTCTGTGAGGTGGCAGGCCTGTGAAACGGTGCTGCATCCCATCTACTTCTTTTTTTTTTTTTTTTTTTAAGATCTGAAATGGTTTTGGGTATCTCCAGTTAACTACGGCCAAACTGGGGCTGGGTCAGGGACTCTCAGGAGGGTAAATGCTCGTCCGTTAAAAGCGCGAAGGTTGGCCATGTCTCGCTGCGTGCTGCTGGTCGATCGGAGGCCGCTGGGTTGCCCGGCCAGTGAAGCTGCACGTCGCTGGCACTGAATTCCCGTATTCTGTGTTCCGCTAACTTAAAACTTAAGCGTCCAAACCCGTGAGTTTTTAAGGACTTGATAATTCTCAAAGTCAACTTAAAGGAACCTTTTGACCAAGTTTATCGCCAGCGCGGTAACTGGGCGAGGGCTTGTTCGCTTGTGGGACTCTTCAGAAGCGTTCAGCTTTGCGACGAAACTGCTCAGTTAAAGGGAGAACGGTTAAGAATGATGCAGGTCTGAATCCGATGGTACCAATCTAACCGTTTAATGACTTAAATTTTTTTTCTGTGTAATAGTTGGAGTTGAGCGACAACATCATTTCAGGAGGCCTGGAGGTCCTTGCAGAAAGATGTCCGAATCTCACATATCTAAATCTAAGTGGCAACAAAATCAAAGATCTTGGCACTGTGGAAGCTCTTGTAAGTACAAAGTGAGAGGGGCTAATGGAAAATGTAAATCTAATAAATACTGGGGTTTTAGTCAAGAATAAACGAATTGTTTTGCAATGGAATGGTACAAACTTAGCTGTAGGGGCTGGGGATGAGCAGTTTTTTCAAGCACAGCATGGAAAGAGCGAGTTTAAACTAGTACAGCGTAAGGAATCGGCAAGTACAAAGATGCGGCGGGATACGTTCTAGCTGCTTATGTTCCTTTTCGGCTGAAAGGCATGCGGCATGAAATTTCATCTCTTACCTGTCGTATGTTCTATGTATTTTTTTTTTTTTTCCTCGCCAGCTCAGGTGCGATGGATGCTGCGCTGGTTTAGGTTTGTCAGTGGTCCAGGTGGTCCTGACTCGATGAGCTCGATGTCGTGGTTACTAGAGACAGGACTCGCAAGGCACTGCTGCAGAGCCCCTTCTGGGTTCCTAGGGGGATGTACTGACTCGGAGATTTTTGGGCTTCTGCTTTGTCTTTGAAAGAAAAGCAGCCAAGTTATGTCTTGCTAACCCTCTTGTGTTCGTTTGTTAAGGTATAGTTTGTCTAATAAGCAACTGCCTTAAGCGTTCGTTAAACTGGGAAGCGATGAGGCGGCGTGTGAGGCGGGCGGTTAGGAGCAGCCTGGCGAGCACCAGCAGCGGGTCACTGAACCGTAGGAGGAAGCTGCCAGCGCCCGCCACTGCCTGATCCGTGCGCCCATTTATCTAGCTGATGATTTGGTTTTTAGGATTTTGATACAGACTGCCTGTTTTTGAAACTGCTCGTAAAGATTCTTCACCTGCTTCAGCGGTGCTCTAACCCAGCAGTTAGGAGACCAAGGGAAGCAGTTGCAGTGCTCTGTAGAAGAAACGCTTTTATTTAGATCTTAGATGCTTGCCAAGCCACGCAGGTGGCTCGTTCCGTAGGTGTGTAAAGTCTGAACGGTGAGAAAAATCACCATCGGTTGTCTGGTCTTCATTGTTGGGAAAGCAAATTCTGTAGTCTGGTTATAAATCCTACCAAGTGCCTCTCGCTTGCTCCTCACAAGATGCCTGGAATCAAATGAGTCGAACTGTTCACTGAAAGGCCGCTGGAGTTGCCGAGTTTTTACCCAGGATTGCCTGAACAAAAATGGGCCGCGCAAACAAAACCCAGCCCCAAACGTGGGTTCTGCAGGCTGTGCAGGGGCGTCTGGCGCTTCAGGGATGCGTTGGGCGCGCGGGAAACGCGCCTGGGGCTGGTCTGCAGAAGCACTGGCGTGAGGAGTGCTAACTACTGCACCCGGCCTTGCACTGAAGTTTGTGTCTCATGGGGAGCAAAACGTGGACGGGAAAGAGGGGCTGGGGACAGAATACCTGCTGTAGCTGGCCGTGTGGTTAACTGTATTTGGGCCGTGGCCGCGCTGTGACTTGGAAGTACCATGTCAAGAAATGGGGGGAAAAACCAAAACCCTTTTCATTTCTTTGCAGCAAAATCTCAAAAACTTGAAGAGCCTTGACCTGTTCAACTGTGAGATTACAAACCTCGAGGATTACAGAGACAGCATTTTTGAGCTGCTTCAGCAAATCACGTACCTAGATGGATTTGATCAGGAAGATAACGAGGCACCGGACTCGGAAGATGATGATGATGAGGGTAACTTCCTGAAAGAAACTGTGGATAGAAGTAGTATGCTGTAATAAAAATATGGGTGTAGCGTGGGGTGTAGCGACTTCTCGAATGCGCTAGCGTGATTCTGGGCTCTTATTTTTGAAGCGCAGACTTCTGGAGCTCGTTTGGTGGTAACACGCTGTGATACAGAAGGCAAACTCCTGTCGGAGGGTTTGAGTGTTCTTGCAGAAGCCTTCTGAGCTCAAGGAAATTTGACAAAAGTTATTGTGACAAAGATACAAATATTCTCACAATAAGTTGTTGCCAGTGGTAAAGCGCTTTGGTACGACTGAATGATACAAAGCGAGGGGACAAACACACATGATTTTAGATGAAAAATTGTAATTTTACTGGTTTTTGTAATGGCTTCAGTCCCGTGCTCGAGCCTAAGACGATTTTTTGTTCAAAAACGTATATAGTTCCTTTTGGTCTGACCTCAGCTCTAGTCCTTAACGAGGCTATTCCTGCATCTTTTTCCACGTTACTGGAATGAGAACGAAACCCGTAGGTTTAGGTCTGTCGGCGTGTGGCTGCAAAGGCTACGTTGATGTGATTGCAGGACCGGTCCGCGTGCTCTTTAAATGTGCTTGGCTTCACAGCTGACCGACACGGTCCAAGCTGTTCAGGAAAAAAACATCCAAAATGTGTTTGGGCGCTGTTAGCAAATACGATGGGCTGTTGTTGTGATGCAGCGTCTTACGCGTGCCTGCGTTCTAAATAGCCACACAAATAACTGGCGAGATTTGGGCTGTGTCTGTTTGTGACAGGGGTTTCTCGGTGTTTTCTTTGCGCCTTAAGTCGTTAGCTGGGAGCTGCCGCTGCGGTGTGCCGGGCCCTGGCTGCTGCGGCTGCTGACGAGTACGCAGGCCCAGCAAAGTTTGGAAGCCGGTGTTTAAAAGAACTTGATGAAAGCCAAATAGTTGATACTTGGAATGTGAAAATAAACCCAATATTTGAAAATAGATTAATAGGTTATTAACTTGAAAATGAATTTAAGCATTAAATCACGTTGTCGTTTCTTGTAATTTGCTTAACTGTGAAAGTGATTATATGCTCCAGACGTAGGAATGAAATGAGAGATCATCTCTTTGGAACTGTAGCTACTAGTAAGTGATTAAATAACAGATAAATGTAATATGTTAAGCTGGTTTTGCCTTTAAATATTTTAGGGTTTGATTCTATAGAGAAGCCTCTCTTCCCCTTCCACCGACTAAATTTTCAGCTCCCTTGCAGGAGTTTGCATATGTAGGTGCTTCAGGCGTCAAGAATTTTGCCTGAAGCTTGCGATGTAAAAACATGGGTAGCCTTTCTTCGGGGAAAAAAATTACAGAGATTTAACTTCATTAAAATCACGCTTGTTTCCCACATGTTGCCTGCATTTACCCCAAACCCTTCTGGACAAAGACGTTACAACTGGCTTGACCTGGTGTATGCAAACTTGCATAAAGAGGAGTTAATGAAACTTAACTTTTAGCATATATGTATAAGTGTATCCTTCGTTTCAGAAGGAGATGAAGATGACGATGATGAAGATGAGGATGAAGCTGGTCCTCCAGGAGAGTATGAAGAGGAAGATGATGAAGATGATGGAGGTTCAGATTTGGGGGAAGGAGAAGAGGAGGAGGAAGTTGGTCTTTCATACCTGATGAAAGAAGAGATTCAGGTAAAAGTTTGTAAACTCTACTGACTCCAAGAAATGAAGAAAACCTGCGTCCTTGGGTGTTAATTTAAACATCCCGACGCAGCAGAGTGTATAAGTGCAGGGTGGATGGAGCGGGAGAGTTGGGAGAGCATGCTGCTGTCGCTGAAATACAGAGCGTTGGCTCGAGCAGGAGTGGTGGCAGTCAGCTGCGAGGATGGTCCTGGCTGACTTCCAAGACTTGGTTGACTTTCATCCCAGCCCTTAGCGTTGCAGGATGGTGGAGCCTCTTTATTCTTTGTGAGCTAAAGAATCCGTTCTCCCCGACGTGTTGAAACTGTGCGCTACTACCAATTAAATTGTCAGAATAGAAATACAGATTAAGTGGAATAAATTAATTTCTTTTGGAAACCCAAAGAAAATACCCTGGTCTCGCGAGAGAAAAGAATGAAGTAGCAACAAGTTACCAGTACTTCAAGTAAGATGGCACAAAGGAAAAGTTAGGTTTTCTGCTGTAATGAATGCTGGGTTTTTTACCCTGCGCTCACTTGAAAATGTTCTTGGTGGTGTTGAAGAGCTGTGGAAAATAGCCCACAGGATCTTTCTAGTAGTACTGTGTTACTGTGCTAAAAAGCAAGTGGAGGAGTATTAAGATAAGAAAATACACGTGTTTTACCAGGTTAAGAATAGATTCTTGTAGCTGTAAACTGGTCGTGCCTAAATGATTATTGCATAGAAGTAAAACCCGGGAGTTTCAGTCCTCTCTCCTGACAGCTACAGGGGTTTCAGAGGGAGAATGTGTCTGGCGTGGATTTTGCGTGTAAGTCTGTGCAAGCAGCTCGCACGTTTCGGACCAGAAAACTCCTGTTGACATCGCTTCCATTACTGTTACTTTGGATAAGAGTTTGCTTCTATCAGCTGCATTGCACATGTATGTGCAGAAAATCTTGGAGCTAAACTCTGGGGTTCTTCATTTTGTTCTTGCAACTGGCGCTCATATGATTTGCTTACGAATGTAACTTTGTTCCTGCCTTAATGCTCTGAAGAGCAAATGTCTGTAACACAATCAATGAAACTAAAACTAAATAAGTAAATCTGTTTTGAAGCCAAGACCTTAGAGAAAGTTCTTTGGAAAATGAACAATACACGGCTGGGAAGAATATCGGGAATTAATCGTGTGTGGTCGCTGGCGTATGCATGCGCTCTGCACGTTAGGTGACGAGGAATTGCCGCACAGAGCCATGAAAATGCTCGGGGAGTTCAGAGCCGTTGCCCTTCTGATGGCGGTGCAGCAAAACCAGATCCTGAGTTTGTATTTTGCATTCGTTTAGGCAGGGAACGGGTGGTGGTCAGGGTGAAGGACGTAACGTTTTGCGAGAGTTCTAGTCTGCTCGCTTTTCCCTGTGTTTTGGAAAATTAATTTGGAAAATTAAGTCATGCACCGTTCTAATTGCAATGAATTAATCCAGAGCGTTTTTTAATTCCCATGTTCTAAGGGCAAATGGCAGGTGGGCTCTCTAATGTTGTCACATTTTTACTTGTTACGTTACCCTGTGTGTAAAATTTGATGTAGCAGATGGGTATAAAAATAAGACTTCAGTTTGTCTTCAAGGCTTGACGTTGTGCCAGTAGAGCAGAGATCTTGCACCATTGTGTAATTTTCTGGGGCTGCTGATCGTTAATTGGTTTACATTTTTCAGCTATCAGCTTTTAAAAAAAAACCAAAACCAAACAACAAACCAACAACTTAATTCATTTGACATGGAAACAATAATTTTGGGAAGATATTAGCTGTTCTGCTTTCTCCTCTTCCTTGTTCTCTAATGACAGTGGGTTAAAAGGAAAAGTAAAGCTGTTTGTCATCTCTCTTTGCTGTCGTTAATTTTGCAATAACTTAGTCTTGAGCTGGCGTAAGGTAGTGATAAGTGGGAACAAGAAAGAAACGAGAATACCGGGCCGGGTAATGCCCTGGCTCGGGTGATTAAATGTCCTACAGTCAGTTTGGCTGCCTATCCTTGCGCAGACGGCCAGGAACAAACAGTAAATGTGGAATGTGACCTCTGAACAGAGTAAGTGGGATTTTCTGAATTTCTGCTCAGGATCAGCATGTAAGCAAAACTTAAATAAACAGCAATTTAAAAAATATTTCATGATTTTCATAAAGGATGAAGATGATGACGATGACTATGTTGAAGAAGGAGGTGATGAGGAGGAAGAAGGTAAGTTCTCAAGTTATTGAAGTTGTGACTAAAACGATTTATTATTCTGTAACTTTGCAAGTTTGGGATGCGCACTTTAATGGCGTAAATCAGCCCTTGGCTGCTCTGTTTCTGAAGGTATGTGAAGTATTTTAGGATCAGTTTAAGCGAGAGCTCGAGCAGGTAGTAAAGTAGCTGTGCAGTATTTGATATTTTTTTGTCCACTCATAAAATAAAAATCAGGAAGGACGGACAGGTTTTCGAAGTCTCTTGTTGAAGCAGTTTTCTGAAATGAAAGATACTGCATCTCCTACACAGTTAGAAATTGTAATTTTCCAACGTGGAGAGGAGAGGGACTCTTCTGTATACCTTGCAAATGTTATTTACATACGTTTAAAGCACCTCGTTAATGCCCCCGAGGCTCCGCTGGCAAAGCCCTCGAAGCAGCAGTAGCAGCTGCGTCTTTTCCCTTTATCAAGCTGGAAGTGGCTTCTCCAGCAAACCTGTCTGCTTCAGAGGCACCTCCAGGGAGGCAAACTCAACCCGGCATCCTGTCTAACGGCTTAGCTAGCGAGCCTGGTCCTATTGTTTCCTATCTAGTCTTGTTATCGATGGTTGTAACTTCATAAATGACTCTTTTGATGTCAGACGCATGCATAATAATCAAAAGCTCGCAAAAAAAGAAAGTGCCAGTGTGCGTGGTTCATCCTGCTTTAAGAAGGTGCAGCGTGGTGAGTCTGTGTGACTGCTGTGGAAGAAGTGGCATTTTTGCAGGCTGATGCTGCTCCTTTGGCATTTTGCAGAACGTAAAGTTCTGTTTGCAAGAAATGGGTTACTTGAGTGTTTTTTCATAAAATAACTTTTTATTTTATCACTCATTCTTTTTTGCACCTGGTTTGAGGTTTCCAAGCCTTCAGGGTAGGGACCAGCCTTACGTTCGATGCTCCTGCTCTGTTCTGGACCTCTGGAACAGCGGTCGCTCTAGGGGCGGGAGGGTTATTTGGGTTCTCGTGCAGGTATCGGCGTACTCTGATTTGTGGGTGGGCGGAAGGGTGGCTCAGTCCTATGCATCTCTGTTCCGAGGGGTAAGATCAAGACACCGGATAGGAGTCCCCTGTTGCACCAGTCAATGGCTGCTAAAGTCCCTTGAAACAAAATTATTAAGCTTCATCTTAAAATTAGCCATCTTTCCCTCTGTACTTTTCCTGCTACGAGGCTCTTCCAGAGCTTTGCAGTTCTAATGGTTAGGAACTGCGTCCAAATCTTTAACCTACCCCTAGCAGCAAAGTTTTGTATTACTCCTGAAGCCCTGAAGTCTGTGTAAACTGTAGGCAAATTCTAGAATTTCTCCCTGGACTAGGCCCCGTCTCATCTGAACGCGTGGCTTAATGGAGAGGTTTTTGGAGATGTATCTTGCACTCGAAAAAAGTGAAATTCTGAAGCAGTAATGCTAATTTTTCACTCTTTACAAATGCAGCCTTCACATCTATTAAGACAACAAAGCAGGAGGTCAGGATGGCTAATTAGCCAGGAAATGACTGCTGGAAAATAAATCTATTAGATTTGACAAAATTGCATTTCATGATTTCACCACAAGAGCGCATAGTCCACTGACCGAATTAAGCATATTTCTAAGAATAAGCTCAAAGATGTTTATGCAAGATGCCTGTATCAGTTTGTCAGTGGAGAGAGAGCAGAGCATGTTTCGCTCGGTATCTGCAGAAACTGCTGGGGTTTGGGCAGGGCGCGTGCAACTTCTAAAAACGAAAGTCAGGGAGATATACAAATGTCATTTCCATTTCAGTTCTCAAATATACGTTAACAGAAACGCTTTTTTTAATAGATCCACTTCATCTTGATAATTCCTGTATGGAACATCACGTGCTTAGCGTGAACTTAGTTTAATATGGCCTGTCTGAATTACTCAGAGTAACGTAAACCGATCTTTTTTGAGCGCCATAAGCAGCACAGGGATGTTACGGTGGTGAATGCATTAACTGCAAACAAGCAGGAATCTGTTTCAATGTCCTTTGCTACAAGTATGCCATTACATTTATGATGTCTGAGCAGAACCTAATGAGATGTATGCACACCTCTTTTCCTTAGCAGAGGGCGTTCGAGGGGAGAAGAGGAAACGAGACCCCGAAGATGAAGGCGAGGAAGAGGATGATTAATTTGTTATAGACACAAGTAGGACCAGACTCTTAAGTTACAGAATACGCAATAGTGATTATGCAGATCTGTATGTCTCCATGTACCATAGATGTCCCTACAGAAGATAAAACGTTAACTTTTTATAGAAGTGTGGTTTTACTATTCTTGCCCTTTTTATCATTCCAAATAAGATATAATAGCCTGTTAGCGAACCTATATGTAGACGGCAATTTTCAGCCCTATAATCACTGAAGCCATTGTCAGGTTTTTTTTCCCCCTAGACTTTTCTTTGGAGCTCTTTAATTTTGTACAAGCTTGCTGTGTTGGTCGTCGTTAGCCCAGAGTTAAAACACCCATTTCACGTGGGTTTAATATTGTGAATTTCCTTCAAGATTTTAAAGGTTTTTATACTTAAAAAGCTGAACTCAAAAATGCTCTATGGCAAATTCCAGTCTCTTTTAAATGAGATGTTGACTATAGTCTGAGTTTACCAGGGATTCTATTTGAAATCGACAACTAGATTACACCTTTATTTCAGCTTTTTAAAAGGTGACTCCTGTAATATTTTTTTACGCCTTCTCTCCATTTTCTGTGTTACATTGTAAAGCCTAAGTGGGTTTCGGAAGATCTTTTTTTCCTGCTTGTTCAGGTGCTCAGTGTTTGCTGGAGTATTCACTAGATACCGTCACGAACGTATCTTGGCAAACCGAAAGGGTTGTAATCCATACATTTTCTCGAAAAATACATAGTCATTGCAGGTATTAACAAAAGCAACGAATCCGTAGTTTTAAACCATTTTGCTAGAAGTCTTTGTTAAACTTTTCACTCGCTGCGCTCTTGCATTGTCATTTTGGGAATTCTGCAACAATCATGGTGTTTGGCTATAAAATATATGCATTTTTAATGCAGAAGTTAACGGGTAGCTCCTTCAAGCACATTTTTTTCAAACACCCCCCCCCCCCTTTTTTAGAATCGTTGAAGGGGGAAAGATGAACCTAAGTTAGTCTTTCTCCGCAGGTCACCTTTTAAACTTTTTAAATCTGGTTGTAGGCAAAACATTCAAGTTCGTGTATAATACTAGTTAATAGTTTAGGGTTTTTTATATTGAATGGCTGCAGAAACTTGTTCCATTGCATACGGTTGGTGGCAGGTACAGGAGACATGCAGACAAGCTTTTTTCCTAGCAGCCTGATCGCGACCAACAGGTCTTAGTAACTCTGCCCCGATGGATTCATGTTTTCTATTTGAGCCACTGCGAAACAAGTTCAGGCATACAGCATTCCTCTTTCAGTCATGATTTGGATTTAAAACAGTAGTCTTGATATAAAACTAACTCACATTGTTTCATGTAGGTACTGAACCAAATATCACACACAGCTTTATTCAAGAGACTTATTTTTATATCTGTCTTGGCTGACAATAGCTGCCATTAAACTGGGGGAGACACCAAGGGTGGGGAAGAGGGAGATTTCCTGGACCTAAGTAAGAGTCAGTCACCCGTAGATCAGTTACCTGTGAATATTTAATAGGTATTTCACACACTAGCAGACTTTAAATGTGACTTCCAACTCTTAAATCAAGTTTAGATACTGCAGGGTTGAAGTTCTGCAAAGCCCAATTTCTTGTGTGTGTGGGTTTTTTGTTTTGTTTTTATTTCCCCCCCCCAAATAGAGCCTTAAATCATAGTTTCTCATGTAGCTGTAAAGCATAGCCAGCCATTAAAGGCAACAGAATGAAACGAGTCAGGCAGATGGCAATATACTTGGAAATGAACTGACTAAATGGGTTTTGCATTTTTTAATGAATATCTGTAAAGACACTAGAAAAGTAGTGGTAAAACTACATTTGCAACCACAATCTTAAGTTCCTGTGTTTGTGTATGAATACTGAATGAATAGAAATCTTAGGTAAGTGCACATCCTATCTTGTCGTGGAGGCTCTGTGTTCAAGGCAGTTGCTTTGTGCTCAGCTTTGAGGTAGAAAAGTGTGTTTTCCCATCTTTTTGCTTATTTTTTTTAGTCTCGGCGAATGATTGAAACCTGTTATTTATAAGCGTGTACTTTACCTCATTGTCAGGGTTTTCCTTAACTGTCTTTTACTGATGCACATAAAATTAGTTTTAAATGGAAAAAATAACTATTTTGCTGGATTATTTGAGTACTGGTCTTGTTTCAGTAAGCGAGTCCGATTTTGACATTGGATGAGCTAACTGGACAAAACGGAATAAACTCGGAAGGGGTTAGCAGACCTTAACACTTCCTAAAACCAACTTGCAGTGTCGTGCATCAGCCGCTACATCTAAAAATCTGAGCCTCACACAAAGCTTAACTTTGTCTTTTCCTCAGTGTTACCATCTAAATATAGTTTCATATTTGTCAGCTTGGCATGCAATTAAACAGCATAGCATTTTTTAAAATAAGTAATACAGAGCCTCCAGATAACTTTTGAAACTTTTTTGCTTGGTGGGTGGTCTTTTCATGCAAATATGTAAGGGTGGGTTTTATATTTTGTAGAGGTTTTGTCCTATTTTAATGCTCTTTGTATGGCAGTATGTATATAGTGTGTTTCGGTTCCTTATCAAACTCTTTCCTTAAACTTTGGAGTAACTGATTTTGTGCAACTGTGTTTTGAATAAAGCCATGACAGTGTTAAATTAAAGAAAACAACCCTGCAGCACTCTTCTGATAATTTTTAGTTGTAACAAAACATGTTTCCTCCCCACGTGTGCTGTAAATTTTAAATTAAAAAGTTTTCAAACCGAATTATTTCAAATAAATTGAGACTATTGTATTGGATTACTTCTTTTAGTATGTGCAGCTGTGGAGAATGTGCTATTTTTTTGAGGAGTGGGGTAAGAGGTAATTCTTCTTTCCTGTTATCTTTTCGTTGTTGGGGAAACCTGCAGAATTGTGTGTCTTTCTGGGGCTAGAACTGGGACTTTATGATACTCTGGTTCTTGGTAGCATCGTCGCAGTCGAGGAAGGATGCTGTGGAAAACCCAAAGTGATGTCTGGATAGCTCACGTACAGCGTTTCCAGATGGGTTTCATGTAGAAACGAGTGTTGGAGCTGACAGGGCTTTTGCATACTGTATAAATCAATACCACGCGAGCCTAGCTGAGCTATGCAAATCTGGCTGAGTCTTAAGAAACAAAAATGAAAATCAAGAGCCTGTTCATATTTTGCTTTTCGTAAATGCTGACTTGGTGTGCCCCACAGCCTGAGCTGCAAGTCTAACGCTGTCCTTTCAAAGTAGCCACCTCGGCCTGTGTGAGTTACTCCTCGTTCAAGAACAGTGTTTAAAAAAAGCTGCTTCTCCTGTAGAGCTAGACATAGCATTGTTTTTATTTTGGGATTAGTCCAGCATTCTTGGCAAAAATCCCCTGGATGCACTTGAGAAAGCTAGTAACTAAACAGGCTTTTCTTCTACTGGATGAGTGATTAGCCAAGAAATGGGTGGTGGTTTTCTGGCATTTTTTTTTAAGTGTGGGGAGGAATTGCCTTTCCATCTACAGCCCCATATGGGCCGCTTGCTCCCTATGCACCTATTTGCCCACTGGAGTGAGACCATATGGAGAACCTGAGCTTCAGGATTGTTTTTAACACAAGTCTAGCCTACCTTTTGGGGATACTGGTGGGTTTATGTTAACTAAACCCAAGCTGTTTCATTCTGGTACATGCATGGCAAAGGAGATGAGAGGAAATTTAGTGCTGTGTAGGCATGTCTTCAAAATCAGGAAAAACTTGAGGCGTGGGCTGACGGGCTCATTCTGTTGGAGGCGAGCAGCTTGTCGTGACCTGTCATAAACCACCTTTCTCCCTGCCAGTCTCTCCCTGGTTTAAAACACACCTCTGCTGCTGCAGAAGTCCTCTGTCCGGCTCCCCGAGGCGAGATGCTCCACACGGCTGAAGACGTGCTCGCTCCCCGCCCCGGCGGCAGCCAGGCAGGGACGGAGGGAAGCCTGCCGCTCTCCGAAGCCTAAAAGCGCACCAGACTGCTGTCTCCAGCGGAATCCCAGGGGCTCTGCCGTCCTCCATTTTGTCGCAGTGAGGGGAAGCCCCGTTGGCGGGCGGCCGTGCGGCTTCCTCCCTCCTGCTCCTTCCTTCTCCTCCTCTCGGAGCTTTTGTCTTTTGTTGCCCCTTCTTTCGCTTTCCCGCCCCTCTCGGACCTTATCTCCCCTTTCCAGTCGTGCTGCTTCCCCTCCCCTTCCTTCCTCAGGGGCAGGGACGCCTCAAGAGGCGACCGAGGGTGGGGAGGGGGCGCCTCCTTCCCCCCCCCCCCCCCCAC